TTTCAGCCCAACGTCGCGAAGAAACACATCGAACAGAAGTTTGTGCTACAGGTGTGACACCACAACCATCGCCCGTTTCCCGCATTTGTTTGTTTGACTCACTTTTTGTCGTCTCTTTTGTCCCAACAGTTACTCGATTTGTTTGACAGCGAAGATCCGCGCGAACGAGACTTTCTGAAGACTACTTTACATCGAATTTACGGCAAATTTCTAGGATTGAGAGCATATATTAGGAAACAAATAAATAATATATTTTATCGATTTATTTATGAAACTGAACGCCACAACGGTGTCGCAGAACTGCTCGAGATCTTAGGCAGGTTTGTATCAGTTCCACGATTGTCTCGAAGTTCATATGAAATTGATTTTAACCACATTTTATTTGTATTGGGTTCAGTATTATCAATGGATTTGCGTTACCCCTGAAGGATGAACACAAGGTTTTCCTACTTAAAGTACTAATGCCTTTACATAAAGTCAAATCATTGAGTGTATATCACCCGCAACTGGCCTACTGTGTGGTCCAGTTCCTCGAGAAGGACCCCAGTCTCACAGAAAACGTGCGTCTAGTTGAGTGCCATTGAATTGAAATGATTTCTAATTAGAATATTGTGTGAAATAATAGGTAATAATAAGTCTATTGAAGTTCTGGCCAAAGGTTCACAGCCCTAAAGAAGTGATGTTTTTGAATGAATTGGAGGAGATTCTGGATGTGATAGAACCGGCAGAGTTCCAGAAAGTGATGACTCAGCTGTTCCGACAGCTCACCAAATGTGTGTCATCGCCGCACTTCCAGGTGGCCGAACGGGCCCTCTATTACTGGAACAACGAATACATAATGAGTTTGATTACAGACAACGCGACCACCATTCTGCCCGTTATGTTCCCCGCCCTCTACCGCAACTCCAAGTCTCACTGGAATAAGACTATCCATGGGTTGATATACAACGCGTTGAAGTTGTTTATGGAAATGAATCAGAGATTGTTTGATGAATGCGTTCAGAACTACAAACAGGAGAGACATTCGTAAGTCTTTGCATTATTTGCATTTCTAACTCCAATTTTTATGTCAATTTCAATGTTTTGTGTTTGAAGTGAGAAATCAAAATTGAAGAATAGAGATGAGGCGTGGAATAAGATCGAGGATTTGGCGCTAAATAATCCTTATTTCGTTGATTTGAAACAAAAAGGAGACATTAGTCTGGATTTGACGCATAATTTGAATTATCAAAACCAGAACGAAGTCTTATCGCCAACTGATGACTACGAAGACATCTCTTATGAGAAGTTTGAGACCGAAGCTAAAGAGGTGAGAGTAAATGCCATCACATTTACGGACATTATTATCAATTAATGTGGTTTTGTTTGGAAAACAGGCGAAAAAGATGTTAAAACGGGACAAACCATTGCTTCGCCGAAAGAGTGGTAAAAAAATAAATCCAAAAAATGACAAAAGTAACCAAAAATTAACAAAATATGAAACATTGAAATTTTTCAGAGCTGTTCTCTCCCGACCCGCAACTACTCACTCACAAAAGTCACGATCAGTTTCTTCTGACACAATCGGAAACCCATAGTTGAGATAATAGTCATAGACATCGAATGCATCGGATTTTGTGTTAATAAACGATTACCAGTATATTTATCATCACTTCTATTGATATACACTTTGTTGTCATCCTATCATTGAATGCCTAATATTGGAGAATAACTCACAAATCGCTGCTATTATTTGTAATATTAGTATAAAATTTAAACCAAAAAACGTCAAATAGTTTATAATTGAGTGCCTATACTATTATTATATCATTAATTACCGTATTTTCTCAGTTTTTGCATAACATTCCCAAATGTCGAGAGAAAAAATAATTTCTATATTTAATTTGATATCTATTTTCAAAATTATATTTTATTATTGGGTTATGATTTAGTCATTAATTTATAGATTAAATTGATCTGAAAAATGTTTTAATAAAAATTAAATTCAAAACTTAATTCATTTAAAATGATTTGATTTTCATTTAATCTATATTTAATGTATTGAAATCTGTATTTTATTTAACATTAATTTGTAGTCTTTTTGTAATTAATGAGTAAAAATATTAATAGATTTTTAAAAATTGCTATTTATTTAAGTTATATAGAAATTCACATATTGGCCATAAATATCACAATTTTATTATAGCAACGATTGATGGAAACTATTTGTAAAATGAGTCCAAATTTCTATTCCTAATAAAGAACTTTTTTGTTATCATTTTAATGAATGTTTGGTTATAAATATATTATATACAGTATTTTAAAAGCGGAAAATGAAGTGTTTTCTGAAATATTTACTGATAATCAATAGAGGAATGTTCAAATATGTGGTGATTTTCAATTCAAATGCAAATTGCAGTAATTGAATGAATACAATGGTAGCTGTTTTGTTAGTATTGTATTGAAAGTGAATACAATTTGTTGTGAGTTTACAAGCGATGATGTATTGGA